CTCCCCAGTCTGAATATCTTCATTTGTTTGAGAGTATCCCTCTTCCTGGTAAAATACTAGTTTCAACAGTAAATGCTTATTTGGAAAAGGGTCTGAGGTCAAGGGCGGATTTGAGAGAGAGCAGTCGAATGCCGAATCCCGCGTGGGTCAGCGATCAGGTGTTTGCCTGGAAGGTGGGAGCTGCAGTCAGGCAGTCTCTGCTCTGGCCGTGTCAGTATTTTTGCGGACTGGAGCAAGACCAGCAGGAGAAGTGGAGGCACCCCACGGTAGCTGGCACCGGGGTGGCTAGCTCTGTTTTCTCTGATGTGGGCTACGGCAGGGCGACAGCATGTTTCTAACGTCATAGGTGGGTGTCTGAGCCATGGGGCCATTGACAGCTTCTTTTTAGGGAAGATGAAAACACTTTTTTTGAAAGGTTTGAACTTCATTCAGATGTGGGAGGGGAACATATTTGTGGAGGGGTGAAGCAGATCCACCCAGGCCTTCTCACACCCAGTAGTTAGGAAGATGAAGGGTGCTGGTCTGCAATTCAGGTCTGTAACGTCAAGCACAACCCACCTAATATGCAGTCTGTGGACCCATGCAGAGGCGTTAATTTGCGTTTACAGCCTTTCAGAGAATTTCCATGCAAAACTACCCGATTGTAGTGTACGGCAGTCAAAGCAGGATACACCGCTGCCTTCCTTATATGCCTGCTGGTATGCTCCCCTCTGCTGTCATAAGAGGGAGCGAGCTGTACCGGGGTGAGGTGGTGGCGATGCCAACAAAACCAGGCAAAATGAGGGACTGTCAAGCAATAGAAAGGCTTATGTAACCAGACGACTTTTGTGGGACACCCATCAAGTAAACCTGGTTGCTCCGGGGACAATCTCGGTTTTATTTAGAGCTGTAATTGGAGGAGAGCCGACAGCTTCAAAGTCACACTTTTGTCTGGAAGGTTTGTGTGGGATCATATCTCGTCGGTAACAAACAGCAAGGGTTGATGCAGACTGAAACTGTGGATGTTGTCCTCACACTGTTGCATGTTTGATGGCTCTTTCTGTATGTTTGCCTTTTGAATAGGGAGATGGAGATGCACTTAGAGTTTAACACAATTTTAGTGTATTGAAGTGGTTTCTCACACGCTGCTTTGCAGATTTTTAGTTTTGGTGGTTTTGATTTATTGGGTCTTTTTCTGCTCCAGCTTTTTGTATTCTTTTTTTTACCAGTGAAGCTTGTTAAATTTAATAGTCTCTTAGATATTTCATTTTCATGCGTGTATTCTGTTCCTTGGAAAAGCTGCCCAAATGTAGAGGTGAAATGATGATTGGGTTAGAAAAAAGTAGGTTACAAAGATCAGAAATAAAAGGGCTGCTAGAGGGGTGCAAGATTTTTGGGGTTTGCTTCTCCTCATATTCCCTATACGTGCACATAACTTGTGCTATATTTCCCTGAGTCTGCTAGAGGAGAGAGAAGTTACAGATGTCCTGCAGGTTATACATATGAAATATGGTATTACAGTTGAAGATCCCCATATTGAGCAATTCAAAATTAGAAGCATTGTAATGCATCATTCTGGACACTGGACAGCAAAATTTCCATTCTAATCCCTTCTGCAGCACTGTGATAATTCAGTGATTGAAAAAAAAACCCAACCAAAAAGTTGTTTTGCACTTGAAGAACATGATACTGAGAAATCTTCCTTGGCCCGCTCACTGGGGCTTACATTGAGAGAAATACAAGACTGCTCTCAGAGTCTCTTGTTTAGCTTGTGTTTAGTCTTTTCCTCTTATCTGTGGGTTGTGGTTTTTGGTTTTCTTGGGTTTTCTTTTGCTTTTTATTGACAGAAAAGAGGATGAATCATGGTTCTTGGAAGCAGAAGACAGGCTGTTTGATTATCACTGCTGGAAATGCTGTGTAGTGAAACTGTGGGTGAGGGAGTAGGTGGTTCTACTTCTGCTCGTCTTGCAACTCCTAAATATGATCATAAACAGCTGAATTTGTGTCAGGCTTGCAACTCTTCTTGTAACTACACCCACCTCAGTTTACAATACACGCTTTATCATCAGTGTGGGTTAAAAGACATTTCTGGGAGGCATGATATCTGAGGTCATTCCACATCTTCTTGAGCGGCTGCTTCTGGCTGCTGAAGTGTGTGTGCACATGAACATGTGCTTTTGTCTATGCTCACATTGTTTACTTTGTTTCTAGGGCTCATCACAATAAAAGAAGCCCATGATATAGAAGCCAGACTTAATGAAGTGGAAAAGCTTCTGAAGACTATTATAAACATGCCCTGGAAGGTGAGTAAGCCAAGTTCCACATTTAGCCCAGCTTGACTCCTCCTTGATGGTGACACGCACTCTCATGCAGATTAGAAAGTGATGGGCTTTGCCAAACTCTAAAAGAAGCAGCAATTTATTGAGCATCTTGGAGAAGTGCTGAGTGCCAGAACCGTGTAATGACGTCTCCAGGCTGCTGCTTGTAATAAGTCTTTCTGTTGTACTATGAAGGGGTGGAAAGGGAGAAGAGAGACAAAGTGAAAACGGATGTCTGTTTCTTTTTCTCTTTTTAAGTATTCAAGATCTGAAGTCGTCCTCACGTTCTTTGAGAGATCTCCTTTGGACCAAGTTCTAAAAAATGACAATGTCCATAAGATTCAGCCAAGCTTTCAAAGTCCAGTTAAAATATCAGGTAAGAGTTGTTAGCTTCCTACATTTGACACAAGAATTACAAAATGAAAATTACTTTATTTGCTGTTCCTCCTATTCTTTCTCCACCAGCAATTCAAAAGAGAGTTCTCCACAGTCTGCTTTATAATATAAAACATATAATTAGCCTTGACATAATAGGCAACATGCATTCAGGCAGTAAAGTGGCAGATGAAACTGAAGGCTGATAAATGCAAAGAAGTGGAGGTAAGGAAAATGCAGTCCTCACTATCGTCACATAGGATAGTGTTGTTACCACTTAGGAAGGAGATTTTGAGGCTATTGATACAGTTCTGTGAAAATGTAAGCTCAGTGCCAAGCAGTGAGCAAAACCAGCAGTGAGAATATTAGATATTATTAGGAAAGGAGGGGAGAACAGAAGAAAGGAGCAGCACGCCATCTTGAATACAGTATGCGCAATTCTGGTCTCTCCATCTCAGAAAGGATATAATAGAATTTAAAAGCATACAAATAAAGGACAAGGATTCAAATTGTTGAACAGCTTCTCTAAGGAAAAGGTTAAATAAAGAAGGACACTTCAACTTTGAGAAGAGATGACAGATGACAGGGGATATGATGGAAGTCTACAAAGTTGTGAATAGGAGCGGGTCAATTACCCTGTACTTCTCATGAAACAAGAACTATAGGTTATCCAATAATGTTGACAGACAACAGGCTTTAAACAAACAAAAGAAAGGTTATAATATTGTTTTGTTTCCATACGGTGCACAGTTACGGAGTGGAACTCATTGTCATAGGATATGGTGGAACTAAAAGCATAAATTACTTCAAAAAGGAATTAGGCAAGCAAGTGGAGGAAAAGTACATTGAGAACTGTCACAAGTGGAGACATAGGAAGTTTCTAAACCACAGGTTGCTGGTGGGTAGAATGGAGAGCAATATTACTCTTATCCTTGCCTATTCTTTCCACCTTTCCCCTTTCATCTTCAACTGACCGTTGTTAAAAGGTTTCTGAACTTTTGGTGTGCCTGGTTTTGTATTTCTATACTGAAACATTTTGTTTGAGCCTAATGGCAACTGCTTGTTTTGTGTCACCAGAAGAGTTTATTTCAGAGAGTGAAATAAAGTTAAATACTACATAGTACTCCAAGGTGCATAAAGTGTTTAGCATGAAACTGGTATCAGTTTTCTTAGGTACTAACAGTATATCGGTTAATGGCCAGTCAGCGTGTCAACATGCTAAAGGTGTAAACAGTGTGTCTTAAGGATCGATCTTATACACAGGGTAGACTTTTTGTAATTGATCCTGAGCGCTGTTTCTAAGCGAACTGGTCCTCTGTTAAATAAATACTCTTTTAATTAAATGGTAAATGGTTTACGAGCCCACCAATAACTCTTTAGAAGTGTACTGTGTAATACAGAGCCTCAGTGAGAAGCGTGGTCTTGCCAGCCCATCTGGGCTGGTCCCTTCTTGTAGGGCCCTCCGAGCCCAGGCTGCAGTGCAGCACGGGAATTGTAAAGAAGAGCCCCCGGGGCCCTACTGCAAAGTGGGGTGACGTAGGTCTGGCTTTCTGGGAGTGAGAGATAGGAGCCAACATGTGTGTCTCACGCCCCATCTGTGGCTAGGGAGGTTTGGATGATGTCTGGAGTCGGTGTGGAAACCTCAGGTAAAATTCCTCATGTGTATGTTCCTGACATTAGTCATCTTCCAAGGGCTAAACGTGGTTACTCACTTTGCGCCTGAACGCCAGGACGTGTTCTCAGCACTGACCCTTGAGAGCATATTCACTGGTTTTGTCTGAAATATGTTGCTAGTCTGTGAGACCGGAGCTGCAAAGTGGGTCCTAGCACCTGCCCATTATGAAATGAAGGATCCCCAAACTATATGCTGTAAAAATGTTTCAAAGGGTGGCTTCTGTCAGCGATACCCTGTTCTTTTTGCAAACAGGCAAATATCGATAAACGTATTTGGAATTGCATTGGTTAGAAACTGCAGTGTTGCTCTAGCTCGGGGCTTTTTGCTGTTTGGAAGGGTTTCATATAATTTTTGTGAGGGTGTGTACCCCCTTAGGGCACACATACTCTGTGTGTGCATGACTGAATCTGTCACGTGGTGGGTACACCAGAGAGAAGATGGTCAAGATGAACCTAAATTCAGAGTGAGGGTGCCTGGCTGATGGACAGAGGCTAGCAGCAAAGGGAACTCTCCTGCCAGCCTGTATGTAGAGGAGCTGTGGAAACCACGTTAGCTGAATAATAACATGTTTTATTTTAATTCTAAATCAATTTTGGTAGAGACAAGTCATACCTAATTAATTGGAGGAAGATTTTCCTACCTGTGGAGCCATCCAAAAACATCTTGTGGTAATTAGTTTTATCATTTAAGTAATCGTTACAAAGAATTTAAGAACATAGGCGGAAATTTGATGATAATTAATATTTGCCTCATCTGAATGTTGCACACTGGAAATGGTTTCCGTGTCTGGTGGCGTTGTCAGTAGATGGCAGCAAATGTTAACATCTAAAGCAGTTCACACAGCAATGAAATGCTGTAACTCTTAGGTCATGTCAAGGACACTAGGAAAACACTGTGGTATTCATGTTAGTCATAGTGCAGCTTTCTACATGGCTTGCAGACTTAGAAAAGCAGGCAAAAATGTTTTGTATTCTCTGAAAAAGCAAACTATCCCTCACATGGTCCTGTTCAGAGTGGTAGGTGATGGGGAAGACGGAAAGGGCCGCCCTCTTAGATGAAAGCTGAATTTGAATTTATGGTATAAATCTTATACTGCAGTACGATGTTGGTTCAAGATGAGTCATGACTGAAGTATGATTCTACTGGGATTCAGTGGTTTTTTTACCACCCTAAACATATTCTGCTAAAGTGAGTCGCAATAAAATACAGACAAAGATTACTTTCTCAAGAAAAATAGGGAAGCAAGTTCTAGCTTTACCTTAATGTAGGAACATGTAAATGTACACTTAAAAAAATTACCTCTCTTCTTTTTCCTCTCCTGCTCATTACTTGAACTGTATGGTCGAAATTGGTCTGTTTGAGGCAAGGTCTTAGGGGTTCCCTGTACGTATGTTGTGTGCCTACAATATTTTCTGCCACAGACTAATTTCCTTTTGTTTGTGCTCATAATGAAAGGCTGTAACACAGGGTCCTCATACCTTGAGGCAGATCATGAGTCATCCCACTTAAGTCAGTGCTGATTTATAGAGAGGTATGTTCATTTTGTGGTGTCCCTAGCTTCATCTAAGATTGTGTGACTGAAAGAAATCCTTGTGACTTGCCTAGTTTTCCTTTCCATGTAGCACAGATGTGGATTAACGTCTCATTCACATCAAATACTATTCTTTAATTATAAACTCTCCCCATGGTAGCAAGTCAGTGGAATTAGGTGTAAATTTTAGCTATTCTGGATTGGAGGTTTCTTACACAGTGAGAAACAAATAAGCAGAGTTGAAGGCAATGTAGAAGATGGTATTTCTTTACATGACTTAAAGATGGCAGTTGTATTAACTTGGAAGGTCACTTTTTATTTCCTTTTTCCTGTCTTTTTGATTTTTGCTTAACTGGCTTAAGCCTGGGACTGTCTAGGAAAAATACAATTATGTTTTGGTAGTGGTAGGTTGCAATATATGGATGGGCTGCCATTCTGCTAAGGGTGATGGGAATTTTGCCACTGGCAATAACAGGGCTGAAATGCCTCAGGGCCTTGCTTCAAATGCTCTGTGTCATGAATTGATTACATTAATAAAATTGCTTAAGCACTGGCAGTTTGCAGATGTAAGAAGCTATGAAACCAACTCTTCATTCCTGCTTTCATGTGCAGATTTTCAATGTCACACACACATCTCAGTTCATAACCATGTCAACTACATATGATATGCGTTGTTTTCCAGCTTTTTTTTTTGGATTTTCATCTTGTTTTCTTTCTTCTCCCAACAGAAATCATGCGATCAAATGGATTTTGTTTAGCCAACACTGAAACAATAGTCATTGACCACAGTATACCCAACGGAAAAGAGAAGCACATGGATGTAGATTCAGCAGAACACTTGTAAGTGAGGTTTGTGCATGAGTAATGCTGTCAGCTTCGGGTAGACTGTAGCTTTCCCACCCCCCTAGCAAAATGTTATCCTCTGTCTAGGACCAACACCTGTACAGCTGTCATTCTGACTGGTTAAAGATTACTGGGCCTGACTGCTAACGCTTTACAGCTCCTTCTATTAAAATGGATAAAATGGCTGTTGGTGAGAATGATTGACCCCAAGGAGCCCACTCCTCTGTGTATGAAAAAAAGCTGTGGTTATCATAGGAGTTCTGCCAGGTGAGAATAGAGGAGTTTTTTCTTTCTCTCATGATTGTGATGAGAGGTGGTTTGAGCCCAAATTTGGAATCTCAAACATCCTTACAAATGGAATATCCTACTACGAAGGGTATGCTTTATTTGGGAAGCAAAACACCACCCTTGGAGGAGGGGAACACACCCCTGAACGTAATCAAAGGAAGCTCAGCAGCTGCTCAGATCCTGCGGCATGCTGGGACTTGGTGAAGCATGTGCATTTCATTAGGGGAGAGGGAAGTTAGACTAGTCTTATTTGTAAATTCTGCCTCCCAATGCATGTAGGTATTGTGAGGTCAGAGACCTGTAACCAGGAGGGCTTTCATGTAGGTCTTAAGTTAGTGACTGTATTGACAGACAGGTATTGATGGAAATCTGCTCCTACAGATTTCTGTCATAGCAGGTGATTGATATTTCAATGAGCTTCAGGTAGTGCAGCATTTAAGTATTTTTAACGAGAAACATTGACCTACTTTCTCATTAGAGCAGTCGAAATGATGGAAACAGAATACTAAAAGCCTTATGGAGGCTTTATCTTTGAATGCAGCGCTCTGTCTTGCCACATTTGAAATGTGGTCATTGCCAGTCTGTCGAAAGGTTTAGAGCTTGACAAGATTTTGTCAGGGGCTGGAGTGTATCTCTGGCTCCAGTGTAATTTCTTGAAGTCTTTCTATTAACTTATCACTTAGTGTTTTGAACCTTGACCTTGCTAACAGCATTTAAGCTTATAAGCTTCTATTAATGAGGCTGAAGCGACATGCTGGAGGTAATTCTGTAACGCCAATGTCTGGAAATTGAAGTTGTCATAGTTCATAGTGGATCACTCTTTAGTACTGAGAGTGACAAATTATAGGAGCAAATTACCAAAGAAAGACTTTTCCTGCCTTATTTTGATTACTTAAAAAAATTTTGATTAAAAAAAAATTAAAATCTAGTTTTGATTTTAAAAACGTGCTGCAGCCCAAGCAAAACTTACTGGTCTGGGATAAGAAACTGCCATCATCTAGCTGTCATCCCATTGAAGTCAGAGACTATTAAGACCAGAAAATACTAATATGATAAAAACTGTATGGTAGGCATGGTTTCCCGGAAACTGTGGTGGAAGAAATAAATCTAGGATAACAGCCTGGCTTTGGGCACTTGTATTTTAACTTCCCTGAAGGAAGTTAAATCAAGAATCAAGAAGTTAATAAATTTCAGATGTCTGTTTTACATGGTGCCCTAAATTTGCCCATCCTGTAGCTGTATTTTATAGCTGAGAGGTAATGGCTAGGAGATAATGGCACTTGTGTAGCACAGCTGTTGTGTAAAAATTGAGCTTTTTTTAAAAGCAGAAGTTTTCTATACTGTTGCTTTAAATGCAGATTAGTAGCCCAGAAAGGAAGCTTTAAAATCTTTCAAAATCCTATGCAGTTCCTTTTTGGTCTCTCTGAAATTGGATTTACGGGACTGGTGTTTTCTATTCTGAAATCAGAGTTAATTCCTTGTGGACTTGTATATCCTCAGATGGGAACTTTTTCCTTCCAGCAACATTAAACTCTGTATGACTTTTGGGTTTTGGCTGCTGATGTACTTCAATCAGATATTTTGCAAAGTAAACCTGTATTTTTTGGAGAGAAGCACTTGCAGCTTCAGCAGGTAGCATTCATTCCCCAAGGTCCCGCTGCACTGGTAAGCTGCTGTAGCCTGCAGTGCTACCTACCCAGTGATCCATCAGCTGAAAAGTCTCATACTTGTTGCAAAAGAAACTATAGCATTTTTGCAAGTTGGAGTTCCTTACTCTGTTGTTCTGAAGTAGTTGCTTTCTGCTTCCTTCATTTTCTCTCTAATTTTACTTGGCAGTACACCATACTGTTGCAAAATGTGGTGAACCCAGTGTGCTCAGCATCCACGTGGCATAAATAGTCCTTTTATGCATGGTTCTTGGAGTACTCTGCAGTCCTTTTGAAAGGAAAGGTGGTAAATAAACGCACTCGAATTTATGCTTTGGTTTTGTTACAGAGGTGCCTTCCCCTGCCAGGGCTGTTTGCACTTCTGTCTTTTAGGCCAGCAGCAGAGGCTGTGGCATTGGACATGCTGCCTTTTTGGCAAACTCACTCCAGTACTAGATGTGCATTTTCAGGATGGTGCTACCATTGTCACAAGCATCTTGCAGTCCACGGGAGAGACTTTCATGGGTGGCGATGCAAAAGCAGCACAGAGGTGGTGAAGTTAGATACAGAACTTTTCCAGGAAAATGAAATTCTACTCTTGACAGGAAAAGAAAATGCTTCCCCTGTGCTTTTTAGTCTTAGATGGGAAGAGATTTGTTCAGGTACTGCTTGTACATAAGGTGATGAGAGGAACTGGGCTGTTGTCTCACACCATGTTTACACTGGGGTTCCTCCTGTGAGTTAATGAGAAACATCATGGAATCATTTAGGTTGGAAAAGACCCTTAAGATCATTGAGTCCAACCCAACATCAAGTAAACCTAACACTGCCAAGTCCACCACTAAACCATGTCCCTAAGTGCCACATCTACAGGTCTTTTAAATACCTCCAGGGATGGGGACTCAACCACTTCCCTGGGCAGTCTGTTCCAATGCTTGACAACCCTTTTGGTGAAGAAATTTTTCCTAATATCCAATCTAAACCTCCCCTGGTGCAACTTGAGGCCATTTCCTCTTGTCCTATCACTTGTTACCTGGGAGAAGAGACTGACACCCACCTCCTTTCAGGTAGTTGTAGAGAGCGAT